ACAAGCAGCGTATCGTACTGTTCTTAAAGGAAGATAATTTTCTTTTCAATTCTATGATATATGATAAATTAAATTTATATATTATTAATATATGATTTATTTTATTTTATATTTTTGCTATTTAGGGGGCCAAGAGCCCATAAAATTAAACAGCACTATGTAATGGACCCCTACCACACATGTCCAAACATAAAGCAGGAAATAAATGACTAGAAGCTTGATCAAAGTTAACTAAGGGATAAAGGGTCTTTAGGCGTATTTTAGTTAATTTATCAACACATTAATTAGTTTTTCTATATATATGGCTCAATCTAAAAGTTTAAGAATGTCTCTAATCTTATAGATTACATCAAATAAAGGGTGGGAACAATTTTGCATATGTTGGATACAATTTAGTGCCGCCTAGGAGTCCGTCTCAATCCAACAAACTTTATGAACATTCTTCTGCAGAATTAACTGAATTCCATGATAGATACTTCAGATTTCAACTTCCAGGATGCTAGAGAACTATGAAAATCTGCCACAAATTGTCCCTTCCAATCTCTAATGATACCTCCACAGGCAGTAGCATGCAGGTGTTGGCAAATAGCTCCATCTGTATTCAATTTCAACTTACTCATAGGAGCAAATCACCTAATCCTCACTTGTTCCATGGCTAGTTTGGGAAAGGAGAATTTTCTTTCTTGCAACATAAATCAGTATACTTAGCATCACTGATGATCTTATGGATTAGAATAGGAAACTGCACATAATTATTTTGAAAGACACAAAAATTCATATATTTTCATAAATGTCAAATAATAAAACTAAAAAGCCTTTTCCAATTGAAAAATCTGCTAATACAAGGATTAGATAGACTTTCATAGACCCAGTTAAATAGATCTATAGTGAAAAATCAGGCCCATTAATCAGAAAAAATAAAGTGATCTCAAATACTTCTAGCATAATGATAATTATAGATTAATCTAAAAATTAACTGTTTGATTAAAAATTTTAAACATACAAATTATAGATTAATTTAAAAATATTTACCTTATTCATATTTATTAAAATTAACATAATTTATACTTTTAAAATGTATAAAAATAAAAATTATTAGATTATATTATAATTATTTTATTTTAACAAGTTTTAACACAAAAAATTAATATAATATATTGTTGACAATGTAAATGTTGAGATTTTGGCAAGCTTATTTTAGTAAGGGAAATAACAGTTTTCATATCCACAAGAATTGATAGATATATTTATAATTTATATTTTTTTAAGTTAAAATTTTTAATAACAAATATTGATATTTTTGTACAAATATTCAAGAGTTAAGTTTCAATGAGTTGAGAAGTGAATTTAGCTAAGATATGAAAATATTAGGGTTTGAGATGAGATTGGATTTCACAATTCATCTTCTTCCCTATTTTGATGAATAAATATTTAGAAATTAATTTATAGATGTAGATCTATTCTCTGAATGTCTCTTTATATCGATTCCTCAAATATAAGGTTTTTAAGAATATTCAATGAATAATAATTTTTTAAATATTCAATGAGTTTTCTAGCATTAAAAATAAGAGTTAAGAAGCAATTGATATATTAAAACTTATTCCTAGCATCACAATACATCGAGTGAGTTTCATTTAATCTAGTTCTAATGTTTGCTTTTTAACTAAACCTTGGACATAAATCAAAATATTATTATTTAAAATAAAATCAAAAACTAAGAATAAAATGAAATTGTCAATGTTTATAAAAATGGATGACTATATATAAATTATCAAAATATTTTAGAAAATAAGATTACATTTAATTCTCAAAAGGAGTTTAATCACTCAATGTGTCCATTACAATAAGACAAAGAAAGGAAAAAGGATAAAAAAAAGGTTCCCCAATTTTTTCCAAGGTGTGTCTAACCTTTCTCCTACTGTTTTGTCATCTCGTTCTTCAAATCTCTCTTTCTTTCTTTTTTATTCAAAAGTGGTGTAAATAAATTTTAACTCAAGTTAAGAAGTCTCGTTCAAGTTAGGAAGACATTATTGTTCAAGTAAAAACCTCTCACTTAAGCAAAAATAAAGTAAAGAACCAAGTCTACTTCATGCATTATCACTTGAGCGAAAAAGGAACAGAATAATTTTTCCTTATGCCTTTTCCTTCTATCTTCATTAACTCCTATAAATTAAGAAATATAACAAAAACGAATTAAGAGAAATCTTTCTCTCAATTTCTAAACTAAATAAATTACTTAAATTTAAATTCTTCTAATTTAAAGGAAATTGAAATCTAAATTCAATTCATTAAAGTAAATAAGTACTCAAATATATGTAAGAATTTATAAAAATTTTAGAGTTATTAGTAAAAGTGAGTATAACTTATATAATTTAGTCCTTTCCCTTTTATTACATAAAGGAACTTTAAATTTTAAAGTAACCAAATAATTTAGATGAAAAATTAGATTAAAATAATAATTAAAAAAATTAAAACACAGTATTCAAAAAATTTGAATTAAAACTTAGAAATTAACAATAACAATGATAGTTAAAAGTAATGTTTAACTAATCACAAAATATGTGTTAAAAAGTGTATTGCTAATATTTTTTATATTTATAAAAATAATAAGTAAGTATTTCATCGACAAAAACCTCATAAAAAATAAGAGTGTAAACAAATTAACAATTAATGAGTCTTTTTTTATTATTGGGATAAAAAATATTGATAGTTATTTTATAAATATGATTGAAGATAATAAATAAAAAAAAATTATAGGCATGAAAGATAGGATGGTTTCAAATTATTTGCTGGTCTTATGTGTGATTCAAATTTTTTTAAAGAAAAACACATTGAATGATTTAATAGAATGTTCACAAGGTCAATTTAAGAACATAAAATGGAACAATAAAAGGAAAAGACAAAATAGACAATAGTTGCGTGCATTTTGGATTAGGAGTGACAAAACAGAGCAGCTTATCTCAGCTTACCCTGCCAAAAGCACACCTAAATATGGGTTAGTCCGAATCGACCCTATTTAAAAAATAGGCTATTTATTTTTTTTATTTCAATTCGTGTAAGAGAGTGGGCTGATAGACTTAATAGGTCAGTTTACCGAAAACATAAAAAAAAATAATGAGTATTGAATTAATAGATTAGCTAATAAAAAATTAATTAAAAAATTAAACAAAATTATAATAAAAAATAAAAAATATTTAAAAAATACTTTTACATTAATAAAAATTAATATTTTTTAAATATAATTTGGATCCCACATTTGCCTAGATTTTAACGTGCTAAATGCGACAAACAGGGCAGACTAATAATTCCATAACATTGCCAATTAAGTTGATAAGATCATACTCAAAGAAAAGTGCATCGCTAGATGCTCTAAGATACCACAACCACCACCAATCTTAAGACTTCATGTGAGTAGTTATTTAGAATAACCCATTCATTTTAACGTTTGATTATTATTTTAAAAACATAAATTCTAGTATAAATTTGTATTGAAATTTATTTTTAAAAATAGAAAACTGTTTTCAAAATAGTAATCGAACACACTTCTCACTATATATTTTTTATTTTATTAAAGTGCACACTGTTTATTTAAATATCACTTTTAAAAAATTAAAATAATATTATAAATACGAAGATTTAATATACAATTTTACACTATATCTGTTAATTGATCAGTTGATCTATCTTTTTCACCATTTGTGTCGTAAAAGTATATTCAGTAATTATTTTCTAACTTTGAATATCATGTGCCAAATATTTTTTTTAAATTAAAATTAACCACTTAAAAAAATTAGCAAGTATCTTGAAAATACTAGTTAAAAACATAAAAGTAGAAAAAATATAAAACAATATTACTAAGTTGCATCTAGTTTTTGATATAAAAATCATTTATAAATTTTCAATCAATACTTTTAAACAACTCGTTAGTAATACTCTTATTATTATTATTAAATCCACCGCATTTTTTTTATTGCCCAACCAAGGACTGGACATGTTCAGTTCGAACCAAAAACTATGAATTTTTTTAATTGAGTATTAAAAAAAATCTCAAGACAAATATGGAATATAGTCTTTTCTCAACCTCTTGTCAATGTTTGGAATACTGAAAACAAAAAATCTATAAATATACGCTTAATGGATTAGGATACAAATATGAATAAATATTTGTAAAATTTGTTAGTTACAAGTACAGGTACAAAAATTACAGTATCGATATCTATTTACTTGTACTGTAATACACATATCATAAGTTTATTTATAATTAAAATTTTAAATAAATTATTCTATACATATATTAAAGAAAAAAATTAGTGTTTTTATCTTCTAATTTAAGAATAAAATTCGATTTCATCTTTTAATTTTATTTTGATTTATTTTGATTCTTTAACTTCTAAAAATATTTTAAATTTATTTTTCTTTTAAAAACGTTAATTTTATTAATAATTTTTATATATTATTTTACGCTATTCATCTTCTTCTTCGACATGTAATATTCCATGCAACTATTTATATACATAAGGTAATGCATTATTGCAAGTCTAACTCCACTCCAAACATTTTCACATAAGTGCGGAGTCAGATACTATATATTGAATTGTTAGCATCACAAGAGTATAAAAAAATTTCAAATAATAAAAAGGAAAAAAATTTAAAAGTAACTTTAAGAACAATTTCTATTCAGTTGAAATCTAAAATATCCAAGTAAAAGGAGCAGATTTTCATGGATATAAATATAACTAGTGGCAAAAAAAAGAATTTGAGGAAAGAAAAACGAATGTTGAAATTGTCGTCTAGCAAAACATCGTGGGACTTGAAATCATCTTAAGAAAGTGCAGGATCATCTTAAGTATAATAGTGTGTGATGTGATTGCGTGAACTATTAACTGCATATAGTTATTTATTTATTTTCAATACTAATCGCTGGTAATAGAAGACAATGAAGGATTTCTCTAAGCTTATATGTGAACAGATTAAAAGGTTCAGCTGGAGTCTACTGATTGGTCAAATGAAAAATATGCAATTATTCAGTGCAAGTTTAAAATCACAATAGCCAAACACTGTAAAAGATAAAATTAGAAAGCAAATAAAAGAAAGCAACGTAATTCAACTTTGCTGCAGAAACATTTTACAAAAAGAGAGAATAAAGAAACAACAGTCACCCATGAATGCAATTTCTCATCACCATCAACTTCTTCAACTTTGCCATTTTTATTACCAATGCCACATAAATCTCGTCTGCCTTCTCCTCTCCCCATCTAAAGTAAGCACGTCTAAGACTCTTCTTCAGCAACAAGACACCAATAACTCCCCAAAAACCAATTACAAAGCCAACTGCTGTGACAAAGAAGAACCATATTTTTTCTACTTTATCTTTCTCATCGTCTTCACTACCTTTGCTTTCAGGATCTCGATGCAAATCAGCACCAGGACATTTTTTTATAATTGGAGATCCACAAAGATACGGGTTTTCAGCATAAATAGATGGGTCATTTAGAGTTAAGAAGTGGTTATCTTTGGGAATTGGTCCTGAAAGGTTATTGTTCGACAAGTTTAAATGACTCAGTGAAGTTAATGCTATCATGCTATTTGGAATTGTGCCTGAAAGGAGGTTATGTGACACATCCAATGATTCCAGTGATTTCATATCCCCTATCATCTTAGGGATCTGTCCTTTCAAACGATTGTTTGCCAAATTCAAGCCATGCAATCCAGTGAGCCAAGTTATTTCATTTGGAATGGATCCAACCAAATTATTTTCTGACAAGTCTATGTTTACCACTAACTTCAAGATTTTGATGTAATCAAGTTCCTTTCCTTTCATGACTTCTTTGACTTCCTCATTAGACCATGCAGACTCATTAATTGGCGGCTTTAGAACATCATCTAATGGCTTGTTTAGAGTCATTCCTCTAATATTGCCTATGCACCCCGGTATTAGACCACCTAATTTATTACGGGAAAGGTCCAAAATTTGCAATGTTGTGAGTTGGCATAGTTGTGATGGAATGCTACCGTTCAACATGTTTTGCCGCAATCTAAGAATTTGTAGTGAAGGAAAAGAGTTATTATTCCATGATGGTATACTCCCAGAAAGGTGATTCTCACCGAGATCCAGAATCAGCAATTGCTTCAAATTTCTCAAAGACATTGGAAGCTCCCCTTGAAGACTGTTATTGTTCAAATGCAACCATAACAATGAGGAAAGATTCACGAATGAGCTTGGAAACGCACCCGATAGCTTGTTGTATGACAAATTTATTTCTACCCATTCCCATCCCTCATTTTGCTTCCAACAATTTGGAATTTCACCAGATAAGTTATTCTTTGAAAGGTCAAGGCTGTATAGACGAGTTTGGCATAACGAGATTGGTATGGAACCATTTATGAGGTTATTTCCAAGAATCAAGTTCAGTAACTTTGGCATTATGTGCCCAATATTTTGTTGAAGAGAACCACTGATTTGGTTATTGGCGAGATTCAAATACTCCATATTTGTAGCAATTGAAGACCGTTCATGTCCTAAAGAAATTATTCCGTCCAACTTATTTGAAGAAAGATCCAAGTAAGCCAAATATGGAAGTTGACAGAGACTTCGAGGAATGGGGCCATTCAAAGAATTGTTTGAAATATCAAGATAGTCTAGATTTACAAGCTCCCCTAGACTTTGAGGGATGAAACCATATAATTTATTAGAAGAAAGACGTAAGCAATATAAATAGACAAGTTGGCTGAGGCTTCGAGGAATGGGACCACTGAGAAAATTGTTTGAAAGATCAAGGTATTGAAGATTTAAAAGCTCCCCTAGGCTTTGAGGGATAAAACCTTTGAATTTATTTGAAGAAATGGATAACGTATATAAATTGACAAGTTTACTTAGGTTTTGAGGGATAAAACCATAGAATTTATTAGAAGAAATGGATACAAAATTTAAATTGACAAGTTGAGTGAGAGTTTGACCAATGGAACCATCGAAAGAATTGTTTGAAAGATCAAGATAATATAGATTTACAAGCTCCCCTAGGCTTTGAAGGATGGTTCCACTGTAAAAATTGTTTGAAAGATCAAGATATTGTAGATTTACAAGTCCCCTAAGGCTTTGAGGGATAAAACCATTGAATTTATTAGAACGGAAGTTTAATCGAGTTAAATTAACAAGTTGTGCAATGTTACCTGGAAAGGTCCCATTCATCTTATTGTAAGACAGATCGAGTACTTCCAACTTTGATAGTTTTCCTAGAGAGGAGGGAATGAGCCCATGGAAAAAATTTGAATTGAGATCAAGGTACTTCAGATTTTCAAGTTGCCCCAACCAAGCTGGCAAGCCGTCACTGAATTCATTACTGTCTAAATACAGTACCTCCAAATCATACCTAATGCATCCAGATAATTCGTAGCTTCCAAATGGTTTTCCTTGAAGCTTGTTACTTGATAAATACAAGATCTTTAGATGACACATGTTTTCGAGAATTGATGAAAGAGAGCACTCCATAAGTGTCAGTTCATTGTAATCAAGGTAAACATAGACAAGTTTTTTCAACTCAGAAAACCATGAAGGAACTGAAGTGAAGCCGTTTTCAGAAAGGTAAAGGAACTGAAGAGAAGTCAAGTTCCGGAAAGCATCAGGAATTGGACCATGAAGCCCATTGACCGAAAGATCAAGACGCACAAGTTTGTTGAAGCTACGAAACCATGATGGAATTGAAGTGATATTGTTATGAGAAAGGTAAATGAATTGAATGGAAGTCATGTTTCTGATAGCATCAGGAATTGGACCAAGGTCATTGTATGATAGATCAAGATATGAAAGCGATGACATGTTCTGGAAAACATTGTGAAGAACAAGTTAGTTAACAATAACACAAGTAAATACATAAAAACAAGGAAGGAACCGTGGTTAGTACCTGGAACAAATTGTGTGTGTCCCCATCATTATAAACCCCACTCATGCCAAGGTGTTCTAGCGACTCAAGTTGAGAGATCCAATTAAAGTCGTTGTTTTGTATATCAAAATTATTGAAACCGAGATCAAGAAGGTACAACTTCTTAAGATTTCCCAAACTGGAGGGAACTTTCCAGCCAAAATTAGCAAAATAGAGAGATAGATACTCAAGGTGTTGCATGGAACCAAAGAACATTGGTATTGGACTGGAATTGAAATCATTTCCACTGAGGTCCAAATATGTCAAGTATTCCAACTGCAACAGGCTCAAATTAATATGAGGACCTTTTAACCCAAGTTTCTCCACGGGATTGTCACACTCTCTTAGCATCACTAATTCTCTTACTGGCATAATGAAATCTTCTGTTAACCAGGCACAAGGGTTCTGGAGATCAAGTTTGACAACATGTCCAGAGACATCGTCGCATCCTATTCCCTCCCATTGGCAACAATCAGTACCTTCCCAAGAGGAAAGCCTATTTGATAGATCGAGGAGGGACTCTTTGAAATTGATAAGAGCTACTCTCTCTCGTTCTATGCAGGATACGGTTGAATTTGCAGACAAACATAATTGAATTTGTGCAATTATTTCAACCAATAGCAAGAGGAACGCAAATGCAGCACTCACGTAACTTCTCATGTTTGGGAAAACAAAACAAGTACCATAACTAGGAATGGTTTCGATGTATGAATGTTTTTGGATGATGCCTTTCACTTGAATGTTTCGATTATCATCTTATCTGATCTCATGTCAAGTCAAACTTCAAGTTCATATCAAACTTAAAATAAAATCCGTTTACTTTTTCAGTCACCCTAGTGGAAGACCGACCACATTTTCAGTCAACCGCCATATTCGTCTACTCCAAGTGTGGAAGGGATTAATGAAGCTGATGTGGAAAGTAAACTGCTTCAATGCACCAGAAATTTCTGCATTAGACTTTTCGTTTGCCTTTAAGGTGCCCTGCTCTAGTGTTCTGTACAAATTATCCTATGGTCTTGTATAGTGTGAGATCCAAAAGATTTGCAACCAAAATAAATTTGTAATATTCTTTAATTTTCATCTAGGTTTATTCAAAATTAATTCAATTCACTCATTTTAAAAGAAAAATTCGATTTTTAGAAGAATATAAAATGCTCTCTCAAATGTTTTAGTACTAGAGCAAGCACAAATATAAAAATTCTTAGATTTCTCTGGTTAATAGACAAAGACATTGACTTGGTGACCACATTAATAGTAGGCATTCTTAAATTATTTCAAACTAATATAAATTGTAAACATTGAATTGAAAATTCAAAAATTGAAAAATAAATCACGCACACATATATACAGAAGCAAAAATTGCATTCCCTGTTCTGTTTTTAATCATGTGTTTTTAAGAACAAAATTAACTCTAGCTTAGAATAATCAGAAACAATTTATTACAAAATATAATTTGGGTAACTACACTCAGTCGTCGACGTGTGGAAGTAATTCATATGCGTAAGGAAATGGACGAGACTTCACATCAGGAAAAAGTTCAATCAAATTGATAGAGAAGTGGTAAAGGGCGTTAATGCGCGAGAAATTTTTTGCGTTGAACTTTGTGGCTGTTTGAGCAAATGAAATAGACCCAAATGCTTGAGAATTACTGGGAAAAACTAAGTTATGAAATATTATATACTTTTCGCCAATACAAGAGAATGTATTCACGTTTACATTGGATTTGTTTTCAATATATTATTTTCTATACTTTGAATTATTTCAGAACTCATTATCATCCCAAGAAATCACTTATGAAACAGCGAAGCACTTTAGTGGAGATCGACATTCAATTTTAAACAAAACATGTTGGAGTTTTCTATCAAATAATAATTTTGTGCCTAACCATATGTTACTATCTATATAAAATCAAAATTACAGCATAATCATGGATTAATCCTTATGAACCCATATTTCAATTCATGATGAAAACAGAATGTGGAAGAGTATCTGAATTCATCATTTTGAAGAGTATTTGAATTCATCATTGAAAATGATAAAGGTTATGAGATTAACAGTAGGTATGTGATCTTCTAGATGTAGAGCACCTTAAGCTTCTTTGTTGAATTTCTCTTCTGATAGAAATAAAGAAAAAAAGAACTAAAAAAGTACGTTCTATAACCTACTCTACAAATGGGAACCATAGCCTATTTATGTAACTTCCGTCAGTTACATTCAGAATTTTAATATTTCCAATTTGTCCCCTCATCAAACTAGAATATTACTTATGGTATCTACATAATAACTATTCATGAAAATTATGCCCTTAGTCATAAACTTTATATTAATTAGACCACTTTAATATTTTGGCTAATAAAATAATGGCCCTAACACATTTAATTATAATATATATATATATATATATATATATGACCCAAAATTGCTAACAATCTCCCACTGATCACAAATATATATACCCTTACAATCCTTATAAATGTGTTAGACTTTATGAGCTCAAAAATTGCCATTACATGCCTTGAGCATATTCCAAAAATCTCGTCCATTGATTACATTGCCACATAGAACCAAAACAGTTTCTATTGTATCAATCACAACTAAACACATCAATGATCACTAATGCTGACAAAATCAAATGACATAGACTCATTATAAAATGTGTAGCATGAAAATTACATGAAGGTGGCCAGTACACGTCTATTTTCAACTAGTCCTACTTTATCTCAATGAGATCATTTAATAACCATAATGTACAAAGTGTAATAACTGAATAACAAACCATTTATATATATATATATATATATATATATATATATAAAACCAAATATATCCAAAAGTCTATGTATGCATACATAAAATCAAACATAGAACATAAAGTACATAAAACTGACCAACTCCCACTAAACCAAATATTCCTCAAACTGTAAAACACCCATGTGAGCAACATGCTTATGAAAGACCTTGGATGAAAGTCCCTTAGTAAGAGGATCTGCTATCATGGAGTTTGTCCCTAAGTGTTCTGTGAAAATCTGTCCACTCAGTACCCTTTCCTTAACAATTAGGAACTTGATGTTAATGTGCTTTAACTTGATCGAGCTCCTATTCTTGTTAGAATATAATACAGTTGATTTGTTGTCACAATATAACTTAAGTGGTCTTTCAATTCCTTCCACAATTTGCAGCCCTGTTACAAAAGTTTTTAGCCATATTCCATAATTTGATGCCTCATAGCATGCTACAAATTCTGCTGCCATAGTGGATGAAGCAGTAAGGGTTTGCTTGGCACTGCGCCAAGAAACTGCACCACCAGTTAACATGAAAATGTAACCTGAAGTGGATCTTAAACTATCTTGGTAAATTGCAAAATCTGAATCATAATACCCAATGATCTCCAACTGGTCTGACTTCTTGTGTGTGAGCATATAATCATTTGTTCTCTTTAAATACCTCATAACCCTTTTGGCTGCTTTCCAATGATCCATTCCTGGATTGCTTAAATATTTGCCTAATACCCCAACTATGTATGCTATATCTGGACGCGAACATACTTGGACATACATCAAACTCCCTACAGCTGATGCATAGGGAATCTTCTGCATTTCTTTAATTTTCAAATTTTCTTTTGGGCCTTATTTGAGACTGAACTTGTCTCCCTTAGCAACAGAGGTATCCCCTACTTTACATTCCTGCATGCCAAATCTTTGAAGTACTTTTTCGATATAGTTCCTTTATGATAACTTGATGAATAATTTGATGAAATTTGTGGTGCCATTGACGAGATGACTGTTTTAGTCCATAAATGGATTTTGTTAGTTTGCAAACCATATTCTTTGGGTCTCCTAACACAAAGTTTTCTAGTTGCATTATATAAATTGTTTCATCAATGTTGCCATTGAGAAATGTCATCCTAACATCCATTTGATGGAGTTCCATATCATAATGTGCAACGAGAGCCATGATTGCCTAAAAGAATCCTTTGATGAAACTAGAGAAAAGGTCTCTTTAAAATCAATCCCTTCCTTTTGAGTATAGCTCTTAGCCATGAGACGAGCCTTATATTTCTTTACATTACCATTAGAATCTCACTTGGTCTTAAATATCTATTTGCAACTAATTGGTTTCACACCTTCTGGTAATGGGACAAATTGTCAAACTTTATTATCTTGCATGTATAAGAAACAGGTATGCATATTTGGAGTAATCATCTATGAATGATATAAAATATTGTTGTATATTCCAAGAAGGTATAGGAAATGGCCCACAAATGTCCATATGTATCAACTCTAAGGCGTTCGTAGCTCTACACGCACCTAATTTCTTTGTTTTGGACTGTTTACTTTTAACGCATTCAACACAAATATCAAAGTTTGTGAAGTCAATGGAATCCAAGATCCCATTTGACACAAGTTGTTCAACTCTATTTTTAGAGATCTGACTTAGGCGCCTATGCCATAATGCTCCTGAGTTAATATTGTCAATTTTATGCTTAGTACCACGTGATTCTGCATTTAAGGATTCACTGTAAGTAGTTACAGTGTCAAGCAAATATAGATTATCATAAGCCAAGAGTAAATCAGTTTCAACAATATATGAATTAAAAGACAAACTGAACATATTGTTTTCAAATGAACACAAATAACCTAACTTGTCCAAATAAGAAACTGAAACCAAATTTTGTCACTGTAAGTAGTTACAGTGTCAAGCAAATATAGATTATCATAAGCCAAAAGTAAATCAGTTTCAACAATATCTGAATTAAAAGACAAACTGAACATATTGTTTTCAAATGAACACAAATAACCTAACTTGTCCAAATAAGAAACTGAAACCAAATTTTGTCTAAATGACGATACAACAAAAGTGTCTTTTAAATCCAAATAAAATTCAATACATAATAATAATCTAAAATGCCTTATAGCTTCCACCTCCATTGATTTTCCATGTCCAACATATATCCATCTTTCAGAATCAATTGGCTTTTGGTAACTCAGGCAACCCTGCATTGAAACACTGATGTTAGTAGTAGCACCAGAATTTAACCACCAAGTGTTTCTAGGTACTGAAGCTAAATTGACCTCAAAACAGACCAAAGTAATAAACATACCTTTCCTTGCACGCCATGCGTGATATTTGGTGCATTTCTTCTTTATATGTCTAGGTAGATTGCAAAAGAAACAGTTGTCACCCTGATTTTGTTTCTTTTGTGCTTGACCATTAGCAACTTCATTCTTAGGATCCTTAATTTTCTTTCTTTTACCCTTGTCTTTAGATGTGCTTACAACATGAGCACTTTTTGTTCTTTCTTGCTTCATCCTTTCCTCTTTTTGTACACAGTATAAGATGAGCTCATTAAGATACCATTTCTCCTTTTGACAGTTATAAGATATCTTAAACTGACCAAACTGTGAAGGAAGAGAAATCAATACTAAATGATGAGCAAGTCTTCCGACAGCTCAAGCTTTAGTACCTTAAGTTTTGAAGCAATATTTGACATTTCCATAATGTATTCCCTCACATTTCCTTTGCCCTGATATTTCATGGAAATCAAGCTCTGAAGAAAAGCACTTGTTTTCGCCTTATCGCTTTTTGCAAAGCGTTTTTCAATTTCAGCAAAGAAATCTTTGGCACTTGTTATCTCTTCAGAGATAGCATCCCTAAAGACCTCAGGAATGCTGCGTTTAATGATCATAAGACTCATGCAATTTA